TCCTTAATTTTCTTCATGGTCACTAGAAATCCGAATCCTGCAGACGGATATTTCTTGGATCCGAACAGTATAACTGTTCCTGCTCTTGGATCCTTCACCGCCGCGGTTTCTTCCTCGCCGACGACTTCTTCTACCGCCGTGGCAGTGGCGGATGCGACGGCGATGGTTTCTTCCTCGGAGGATCTGAGCAAGAAGATTAGGAAGCCTTATACAATCACTAAGTCGAGAGAGAGCTGGACGGAACCCGAGCACGACAAATTCCTCGAAGCTCTTCAGTTGTGAGTTATCATTTGAGCTCACCATTTTCTCGATATATTTGGCTATTGTGCTTTGCAATTTACCCATTTGGAAAAAGGTTTGATTCGGCGAGAAATTAGCTGCAATTTTTTTTTGCAGAATTAGGGTTTCTATTGGGATTATGCGCATTATACGTTTCCTAGATTCTGAATGTGATGTGTTTAGATTTGTCCTTGTGACATGGAATTGGAATTGAGGGTTGGATTAGAGCAGGTGGGTTTTGTCTATGTTTTCACATTTTATCGAATCAGGCTTTCTGATAAGCATTGAGAAAGGTCAGGATGTGAAAACGTGACAGTGACTATCGAAATTGGATGAGCCAATAGTGAACCAGGGCAAGAAATTCATGGATCTATAATGAAAAAACCATTGATGGAAACTCTATTTGTGTTTGTGAAGAGGATTCAATGAAGACTGGTGAGGGAGTAGTTGAAATGCTAAGGCTGGTAGGTAGTGAGAAGGATCTTGGGTTAGTTTTGGTGGAGGCTATGAGTTTTTATTTTATTTTCAAGACTTGAGGATGGTACTGTTGATTGTATATTCCACTATGTAGAGTGTTGTATACAGTGGATTAGACACAATCTATCTTAGGTGGTTTGGCATTAGATTTTATGATCCTTATGCTTATGTTCTATCGTTTTTAGGTTTGACAGAGACTGGAAGAAGATTGAAGCTTTTATTGGGTCAAAGACAGTGATTCAGGTGCAGTGAAAAGAAAATTATCTTTTCAGTTACTTTTTTTTTGTGCCTACTCTAGTTGTGTATATTCTTTGTCATCTCTCTCTTGGGCCCTCAATGTTACCTTGGATTGGGGTTACTTTCTCTCCATTGATACCTCCAGAAAGTGTTCCTTTATAATAACTTTATTGTCTGAGAACTGTTCTGAACTATTAGGAGCAAGAGTTGCACATGTCTTTGTAGCTGATCACCCTGAGGTTTAATGAAGTGTAATCTTTAGATTTTCTTGCATTAGACAAGAACTTTATGGTGGTTTCTTATACGATTCCTTTACTATCGCAGATAAGAAGTCATGCTCAGAAGTATTTTCTTAAGGTACAAAAGAGTGGGACGGGTGAACATCTCCCTCCCCCTCGACCAAAAAGGAAAGCGGCTCATCCATATCCTCAGAAGGCTCACATGAATGGTGCGTAAAAGCTACTGTTCAAAAACAAATGTTGTAATGCTGTTTGCTTAGTGAGAATCTATATTGGTGCATTTTCGTTGGCAATGTGCAGTGCAACCTCAAGTACCAGGGTCCTTCAAATCAATATCTGAACCAAATGACCCAGGCTATATGTTTAGGCCCGAGTCTTCTGCGATGCTGATGACTTCTCCAACCACTGCCGCTGCGGCTCCATCTCCATGGACCAATAATATGCAAACAATCAGCTTCACTCCTCTCCCAAAAGGTTCTATTCTCATCTACAAGCAACTACTACTACTCTCTTAATATATTCTCCTTTTCAAAGTTTACTAAATGAAGTGTATTAATCTTCCATGTTCTGATGAAGCAGCAGGAGCAAATAACAACTGTTCTAGTAGTTCTGAAAATACTCCAAGACCACAAACCAACAGAGATGCAAGTGACCAGGGAAATCTTGGCCATTCATTAAGAGGTAAGCATTGTGACATCGTCTCCTATATTGTACCACATATACCATATTTTACTAGACAGTTCTTCTTTATTTCAGTTTTACCGGACTTTGCACAAGTATACAGCTTCATTGGAAGTGTTTTTGACCCATGTGCGAGTAACCATCTACAAAAGCTGAAAAAGATGGACCCCATAGATGTCGAAACAGTACGATTCTTGTCTTTTAAAGTTTTACTTTAATCTCAAATGAAACCGCATCGGTCCAATGGAACAGAATGATAAACTTAAATCTTTGTTTGCTTCCCACCAAGCAGGTGCTACTGCTGATGAGAAATCTATCCATCAACTTGTCCAGCCCTGATTTCGAGGATCATGTAAGTATCTTCCTTGACGAACTCCTAAGCAGTTTTGACTAGAAAACCTATTTCAGAACTAACCTCAAAACTCTTAATGATTATGAAACAACAGAGACAGCTTCTTTCGTCTTATGATATCGGCTCTGAGACAAAAACAACTGATCATGTTGGAGTGAGTAAAACCTTAAACAAAGAACCACCCGAAATCTCCACTTGAAGTTAATAAAAGGGGAGAATTATTAAGTATCTCAGGTGAACAAAACCCAGATGGCTACAAAATACTAGAGAGATTGTGTTATGGGTTTCGTTTGTACATATGAAGAAGATGAAGCTGACACTGAGCGGTTTAGTTTCTGTTTTTGTTATAAATATACGTCTTTTTGGGTTATGTACAGTGTATTATCTTAAGTTAAATACCATTAGTCTTCTGTCGAATTTCTTTGAGCTTTTGTGTAAGCATGTACCAATGTAGCAGTCTCTTGGAGACCAAATCTCTTAGCGA